GCGAAGGCGATGCGCCGCGCCGCGCCGCGCCGCGCCTGAGTATTTTCATCCACGATCGCGAGTTAATAATAAACGCGCGATCGCGCGAGCCGACGCGCTCGTCCCCACCTCGTGACTTCACTTCATCGCGAACCGATAATCATCGACGATGTGGACAACCTAATTATACGAGCTGACGTCACGGTTAGGCCAAATTGTCGCCGAAATTTCAAGAAGATGTTATCTCGAAGAAGCAGCCATTAATTGGCTGGTTGACCGACAGACAGCTTTATCGACTTCTTCGAGTAAAATCGTCGCCGATCATCGAAATCGAGGAAGTCCAGTTTGATATCGATCGTTGTGTAAGGATTGACGTAGGTATTTGTTTCTTTCATTAAAAGACATTTTGTGTGGAGGTGAAGCAAATGACTCGGGTTCACTGGCACCTTCGACCTTAACGAACGTGACCTTACTCAAGGCTGTTTTGCAGCTTTGGACGAGAGAAGTGTGTCCGTTGGCAGTGCGAGTGTCTCTCGATTTCTCGGAATTCTTTATCTTTGGCTGTTCTCTCTCTCTCTCTCTCTCTCTCTCTCTCTCGAGCTTCGACGTCAAAAGTAGCTGCATAAATCAATCTTCGTCTTATTAAGACTGAGAAGAAATAGAAGAGACTCGATGAATAGCAATTTTCCTTCTGATTTACTCGAAGAGAATTTATTTCCGAAGTAATTTGAAAATAATGGAAATTACACGCTTCCTAGAATCGCGTAAAATCCAGTCGACATTAAGATAATCATCAAAATGTATGTCGGTCGATAGTAGTGTAAAATGTAAGTCTTTACAGAAATACCGAAAAAGAAAGTCATTAATTACTTATTTTAAGTATATTAAAAGCACTGTTGTTCGATACTTTTAGTGCTTCAATAAATAAAAAATTTTATACATAAAAAATTACTGTTTAAATAATAAATTGGCATTTGGATTTCTGGAAGAGAAGAAAGTGGAGCAGAATTAGGGTGGAATTTTACATTTTTTCTTAGAGAAAAATTGTTTTCTATAGATAATTTTCAAGTTTCTTTCTCTAGTCCCTTTTCAAACCTGAATCCAAGACAGTTTGGTAACAAGCCTTTCAATCAACAACGACAGCCCTCCCTTCTAATTGACATGCATAACGATACGTAACCAATCTCTCTTTCTCTCTCTTTCTCTCTGACATATGTATTATCATTGTCGTTTGGCACGCCATACAAGTTTCGTCATTGCCACTAATAAACGCGTCGCGCACGCGAGTTGACCTACGAATTAAAAAATCCCACGCGCAGCGATATCTTCGTCTCGCTCGATTAACTGATCAACCGACCCTTTTCGTTGCAGATGTACTAAGAAGACAAATTATGGTGGCAGAGTTTGTCTCCCGCCAGAGTGGATCGCCCATCAATGGTGAGACCGCGTGTCTGAACAGCAACATGCCGGCCACGCACACAATGGCCCACAGTGGCGGTCACGGTGCGCCCCACGGCGGGCCCCACGACGCCCACGGACCCCTCACGGTGCCCCTCACGCATCCCGGCCACCACGGCGGACCCCCGTCTGCGATTCAGCAGCAACATCAGCACCAACCGCAACAGCAAGGACCACCGCAGCAGCAGCAGCAGCAGCAGCCGCAGCCGCATCATCACCATCACCACCAAGCCCAGCAGGCGCAACCACAGCAGCAGCAGCAACAGCAGCAGCAGCAGCAGCAGCAGCAGCAGCAACAGCATCTTCATCATGATGCGGCGCAGGTAACGACGCATCCCGAAAACTTCCCGTCCAATTTCGACCTACGAAAGGAGCTATTCTCACAGCGTAAGCAGCGCGAGTTCATCCCCGACAACAAGAAGGACGACAGCTACTGGGACCGTCGCAGACGCAACAACGAAGCAGCCAAGCGGTCACGCGAGAAGCGCCGTTTCAACGACATGGTCCTGGAGCAGCGGGTGATGGAGCTCAGCAAGGAGAACCACATCCTCAAGGCGCAGCTGGACGCGATACGCGACAAGTTCGGCATCTGCGGTGAGTCCGTCATCAGCACCGAGCACGTGCTGGCCGCGCTGCCCGCGGAGCCGACGATCAGCGTGAAGCGCGCGAAGATACCTCCGTCGGCGGCGCTACTTTACGCGCGCACACCCAGCCCGGTGCACACGTCGGTGATCCATCAGCCGGTGAGCGGCGCCCGCTCGCCCAGATCGCCGGCCCAGCTCTACGTGCCCGAGACGACCGCCTACCCGGAGACCGAGAGCTTCCAGTACCCGTACTCGCACCCGGCGATGCACCACCTCGACACCACGAGCGCGCTGAACCTGTCGTCGCGCGGCCGCCGGGCGCAGTCACCGTTCGAGCTGTCGTCCGGCAGCGGCGACGAGGCCGGTGGTCCCCAGCTGGTTGTGGGCTCCCAGAACAACCCGGCCGCCAACAACAGTCTGCCCCACAAACTCAGGCACAAGTCGCGCATCGGCGACAAAGACGCCGCGAGCGCCCTGCTCGCGCTTCAGGGCATCAAGCAGGAACCCGGACCGCGAGCGTCGCCACCCTGGGACGAGGGCTCCAGCGACGAGCGCGACTCCGGCATCTCGTTGGGCGCCGAGTGGACCGGCCCGACCGTCACCACGGTCTCGGAGAGCGATCGGGAGGTGAAGATGAAGCTGGACCGCCTCGCGTCCGAGGTCGCCTCTCTGCAATCGATATTCCGCCTTGGTAAGCCCGTCGCAGCAGCGGCAGCGGCCGCGGCAGCGGACGGCCTGGTGACGGGTCACTCCGCCGCCACGGTCAGCGGACCGTGAAGGTCGCACGATTCCCCTCCTTCCGCGGGTCACCGCGAGTGGTCCTCCTCCCCTGTGGCCGGATGCCGGGGTTCCTGGGAATTGGACGCGGAGCCGTCGTCTGGAGGACGTGTGGGAAGGACAATGGAGCCTTGAATCGTCGAGCCTTTCATCGCACCATGCTGGACATCGTGATCGCGGTCGAGTGTAAAGGATTCTATAATTCTTAAGATTCGAGCGCGCGATTGTTTAAAGGATGAAGGGCGTGCGAAGCTAGCTTTCATGGTGCCGGCGAGCAACGGGAGCAGATCCGTAGCGGTCGCTTTGAAATAAGATGGAATAATCGCGAGTCTCTCGTGAATGATTTGCGATCGCTATCTGATCTGCTCGTTGCACGAGGGTTATCGATTAATTGGAAGACGTAACAAGACGCTCCCGTCACGCTGCGTCCACGCAAAAACTTTAATCCTTCAACCCGTCGATTATACCTCTGAGGGTTCCTCTTCGATGAAACTTATAACTTATTGTGATACGCGAGAGACCGTTCAAATGCCGTTTTGAAAACGAGTCTTACTCTCTTTGGGTAGACTCGACGGCTACCGGTCGAAGGGTTAAAGGCGTTCTCCACGCGGAAAGAACGGTTTTGTTGGAGCGAATTTTTATTAACAAATTTAGCGGTCTATAGTAATCATTTTGATCGTCCTAGACAGAAAAAAATATTCCAAATTTTCACAAATCATTTCTTTGAATAGCACTAAAATATTTATATCAAATATAAAGATACGTTTATTTATGAGAGACACAAGAACCATTTTGATTGAATCCTTTTTTATCGATTAAATGTTTATTTTTTTGTAAATAAATGTTCAGCTAGCACTATCTAAATAAATATATATTAAATATTTAGTACATTTTTTTCTCAGTGTACACGATTAATTTAATAGTAATCGAACAAAATGATTTTCACATCTATATTTAGCTAAACTTTTAGATCCTTCATTGGAAACTGTTCTTTCTGTGCACTCTTGGGTTCCGAAGCAAAGCGGAGTTAGGAGTTAAGAGCCGATGCGATACCTTGTAGCGCTATAAGTTACGTTATAAGACTCCCGTAGGTTAATCGTTCTTCTATTATTACCATTATCGTTAACTAGAGAGCTTTGTCGATTCGGGCAGACGTATCGCGACGAGTTGGGCCGAAGCGTAAATCGGCGCGATCAGGTGAACGAAGGCACCGCGATCTGTATTGAAACGGAGCGTTGTCACACGCGAGTTTTCTCCCCCGATTGATGATTGGTCGCGCAACCGGCTATCTCACTACCATCGGATATTCATAATACGATTCATTCCCGCGTACGAAGCAGGGATTACATCTTCCTTCTCCTTCCTTTTATTTTCTCTTCGCGTCACCGTGTCACTTATCATCGTCATCTTTCTCCTTATTCGCCATCACGTTGGCGATCTCGTGCGGTGGAGCTTCGAGGCGTAGCTTTAATTTGCATCCTCATTTATTTATTCGCCAAAACTCGACCGAACCTTCGTTGATTGATCTTGCACGCCTACACGGTTGTTGTTGTTGAATATCGGGAACCTTCGGAAGCGACGTCTACCTTGCTCGAAACCTCAGAAATTCGGTTCACACACGGTTGTTCATTTCGAATTCGCTTTTTTTTTTTTTTTTTCGTTATTTATTGCCCCTTCCGCCGCATCTCGAGGTCCGCGCCGAAAACCTGGACGAAGCTTCGCGAGTCCTTAGATCCCTTTCTCCTTTTACTCTTCTTCGTTTCCTCGTGCCAGATTCGAATCACACTCGGTCAATCCGGACTTGACTTGCGGACGGAGGAGGCAACGTCTCTTCGGTATCTCTCGACACCAGATTTTCACGCGATCTCTGCGCGACTATCCGTTATCTTCTTCTTCTTCTTCTTCTTTTTTATACTTTTGCTATCCAAACGCTACGGTCGGCGTAGTGGCGAGTGTCTGTATATATGTATATGTAAAGAAAGTGCATCTGTGTTACAAAACGCCGGACGAGAAACGCTAACTTGGGATGTATATGTACATACAATCGCCGCGGAAAGTCCTCTCGGAAGGCGGAATTTAGCGCGTATTGAAGTATTAAGCGAGCCTATAGGTGTATGTAATATATATTTACATAGCGTATACTTGCAAGAAATATATATATATATATATACATATATATATATATATATACTATGTGCATATATATATATTTTTCAAATTAATGTATTTTTCGATATCATTGAAAAAGGAGCTGTAACGCACGTGCAGTGCTCGATTGTGCCGTCGCCGATTCGTAGGTGCGAGAGACTGATTGTGTAATCAGTGAGAGACCGGTCGGAATTGAAATCGCGGCCCGGATCGCACCGAGTCCACCGATCGGAACCAAAGTGTGATTTTTCCCGAAAGCGCGAGGGGAGAACGAGAAAGGTAAAATATCTATCCGACGATAATGAAACGAAGTCGGCGACGTGAAGAAAGAACCGGCGATACTTTGCCGATCATTGTTCCCCGATCGATCAACCATACGTTTTTACCAATGTGATACGCTAGAGCGATAGAGGCGCGAATCGACGTTAATCTGGGAACCGTAAAGACGGCCCTTAGACGCTCCATATTATTGTCGAATTATTTTCTACAATGGCTTTGTTCCTTTTAGCTCAACTTTTTGCACGGCTCATCTTTCTTCCATTTCTCTTCACGTTGAAGAAAAAGGGAGGGAAGATGAGCCCTGCGAAAAACTAAAAGGAACAGGCCTAAATTACTTATAAACCCTTTAAACAATTCAAAACAATCTTGGGCTCAATATAGATCAATAATAGTTGCTTTCCAATTTCACCCAAGCGATATGTCGAGTCTAAAGTTATGTGTCACTACTTGCTTACTTTGATGACAAAGTTATCGCATAACAACACAGTTTATAAACCTCACTAATGTGAGGTTAACAAGACTCATTGTCGGTAAAACACACAACTTGTGCAGATTGTACATGAAAACTCGATTGACTCTCACTTGTCATAGAATGAAAAGAAACCTGCATTCAGCTGAGTTATGACGTCACAAATTATTTGAGTTTTGCTAAATGGAAAGCAGCTAATATTGTGCAATATCTCATTCTGCAACAATATTGATCACCTAAGGGCCGCTTAATAGCGAAAAGGCATCTCTATTTATTGTACATTAATCGCCTATGTTATACGGCGGAGCGTGCGACGACGACGAGGAGGAAACTGAAGCCGGAAGATCGACGGCGTTTTGGAATCCCTTCTCGCACAGGATCTCGTCATTACCTTCTCTTGCCCCCATATATATATTTTTTTTTCGATACTTCCCCCGGCCGTGAATGTTCCATATTTTGTATACGGTATGCTTGTAAATTCCGCGGCCGACATCGAGGTCTTTACAGAAATCCAATTAATGTCTACTGAAAGATAATGATTATTTATTTATTTTGAGTACTAAAAGCATCGTTGTTCTCAGTGCTTAATAAGTAATTAATCACTACACCTTCCAGTATTATAATATAATACATTATACATATTTCTATAAGGAGGGGCTGAACGTACAAAGTGCAAACGTAAGAACAACGACGTTGATTCAACAACGCGTTCAGATACGATCGTAAATAGCAATAAAACGTTCCGAATCGTCGTCGCTGAGCTCCGATATCCTGCAAAGAACGATGTTTGCCAGCAACATCGCAGTCGCGTCGCTGTAAAATACCGAGAGTGCCTGTTTGTAACGACGAAGTCATATGCGTTTCTCGACCGCGGTCGGCGAGAGATACGGGGATGCTGCACCGTGTAAATACGTTGTCTTCTATTGTTAGCTAACGAGTGCCCGCGATTTCCACGATCAACGACGAGGTCTCGACACGATTCCGGATTTAATACACTCTTTAAATTCTTCGCGATGGAATCTCACTCTAAAGAGTGAAAACTGAACCAGTCTTGGAAAAGAGTGACTCAATTTTCAATATCTTTAAAGAGTGACATTTCACTCTTCAGAGTGAGATTCGCTCTAAACCTTTTTGAGGATACATAGATCCAGATACATACACATAAATACAACACTCACGTATACACATATACATACACACAGAAATACATCCCGATTACTCGCGCACTTTTGCCTCGCTCGCCTCGAATGATCACGATAATGCGACGCGATCGCGAGAGAGCCGACACGTTACAAACAATTTGTAAATATACAATCGCACCTTTTTGCCAAAAAGCAGTTACGAGAACCGCCGGAGCGTCGGCCGGAGAAGGAACGACACTCTTACGCCCTTTCTGCCCCGCTCCCTTTTCCCTCTTCCACTTCTACTCTCCTGAATTGTGCCCCCGCGAAATCGTTTCGCGCGCGTTTCGACTACAGTTCCTATGCACTATACTAACGGTAAAGCGACTTAGAGGCGAGGATCGATGACCCGTCGTCCGATTTACGATTTAAAAAAAAAAACCAGCCGTAATTCCAATCGAAGAAGCTTGGTTCTCCTTTCTCCGGCGCTGCTCGGAGATGTAAGTATTTAGATTCTAAGGGACATATCCACAGCGCGTGTAGTGTACTTGTATATGAATACCGATAAATAAATATTTTCAATGTTTTTGACACAAAGCCCCTCTCCTGATTCTTTGACTTCCTGGCGCCTCCCTTCCTTCTTCTCTTCAATAATTCAGCAAAAAAGAAATGCCATGTTATGCTTTTACAATAAGTTATATGTATATATTTTATACGAAATATGATTCAGAAAAGGACAGAATATATATCTGAAAAGTAAGCATAAATATCTACTTTAGACAATTAAACACCACACACAGCTGATTATACAAAGAATATAAAAAATATATATATGTATACTTTGCCATTGTAAAATAGTTTGTACAGAGTGATAAAAAGTAATAATAGCATTTTGAGTTAAAATCAGTCCTATGATCGTCTAAAAAATACATTGCTAAAAAAACTAGAAATATCGAGCTAACGATAAGTCATTGATTCTGAAAAGATAATATTTAGAAATTATACAGGGTGTTTTTTAACGTCAATACCGCACAGTAAATTTGAAGCCAGAGAGCAGAAAAAGTCGTACGAATATAGAAAAAACATTTTGAATATTTTAATTTATTTTACCTCGGAGAATAAACGCCCTACATTCGCGCGACTTTTTTGCTTCTTGTTTCGGACACTAAATTCACTTTCTGAAGTATTTACGTATAATTTAGATAGAATCGCTCTGTTATGTTATAGATATATGGTCTCTTTACGTGATTTTGTAAAACTATCAAATGATTTCTATAGGATGTGTTTCATGGATGCCCGTTATAATAATCCAAATAATGCTTAACAGACGGAATGCCCTAAGCTTTAAAACTACGCTAGTAGTTAAAAATTACTTTCGCTTTTTACATTTTGTTCTACCACGACGTCTGCGTGAGGAGTTCTGACGGGTATCCGATTTTTTCGATGACCTGTAAATGCATTGAAATTCAACTTTAGTAAAGTAATTAATTTAGGAAATTGATATAACAGATTAACTTAACAATTACTTCAATCAATTTTTTATTGAATTCAAAATAATTGAATATTCATCGATCAGACGCGAAAATATACCTGTGAACCCTATTCACCGAAACGGAAGAATGCTTCTTTAACGTTAGATGTTGCTGGACCAACTCTGCTAGTTTTCCCTGCTGAGCAAGCATAGAGAGGAAGGTGCAAATGAATTCGTCGTAATTATGCGTTCTCCGGCAATCATCGATCTGAAAGATTCACACGATTTCTATAACTCCATAAGAGTAAAGTGCTCGATAATATTACTAATAATATTATTAATTAATTATCTATCAAAGAACTGGAAAGGATACGGGCAGTAGGAGTCAAGCGCAGAAGACGTCGCGCAAATAATATATCTATGAAGTATGAAACTTTTTTATTCACTAAAACGCGCTTATATGTTTCGGCTCACTTTTGAGCCCGGGACTCCTATGAGCTCTCTGTTATCTCCCGTTATTGCGGATCTAGTTATGCGAAAGCTGGAGGTTGGAGCTTTGTTCTTTGATTCGGTTTCCGTTGCCCTTTTACTAGAGGTTTATTGACAACATATTATTGGCGGCACATGCGTTTTCGGTTAGTTCCATTCTTTTTAATTTTCAGCATCCTAAGCTTCAGTTCTATGGAACTAGGGAGTGATAGATTGAATTTTTTGAATTTTACAGTGATTCGAGATAATGAATTGATAGAGTTCAATTGTGAACTCTTTTTGGCGTTTAAACTCTCGAGATAGGAGAGCTCACCATGACAGGATAATTTTTATTCACAGTTTATTTATGTTAATTTGTGTTGTCTCTGAGGAGGGCTCAAAAGTGAGCCGAAACATGTAAGCTTTTTATTTTAGTGAATAAAGAAGTTTCATAGATATATTATTTGCGCGACGTCTTCTGCGCTTGACTCTTACTGCCCATATCCTTTCCAGTTCTTTGATTTATAAGGATTTATAAGGAGTTAGTTTGATTTGTAATACGGATTATTTATATATTTATCATGTTTCAATTAATTTTTAATATTTCAATTAGTCTAGTCCGATCTTTCAATGATTTTGTTCTATCATGACTGAAGATAATTAACAAAAGAAATAGGGAAAATGTCCCTCTTTTGAGCTTTTAATATATTGTAAAGATGGAAAAAATGTTTAATTACCTTTTTATAAATAAATGTTTTTATTAAAGAGAATTTTTTATCATTATCATAAAGTATATATATAATCTCAATTTTTATTAGAAAAAATTTTTTCATTTTTTTTTATAGTTCGATGATATTCACTTTAAAGGAAACTAACCGATTTCACCCCTTAAAAGTATGTGCCTCATTTTAGTCTAAACTACAATATATTCAAAGCTCACATCAAAATAGGAAGGATACTCCTTTCTTTGTAAATAAAGTCGAAACGTGTCACATTATTGTTTTGAATAAATTTGATATTTTATTTCTTTAACCTGATATCTTACGCTTGTTTATTGATCTTGATTTTATTTTGCTTACAAATTAATTATAGGCATACATTGTGATGTATAATCGTGAGAAATGGGACGGGATATCATGGTTATTAGCTGCAATCTTTGCCGTTAAAAATAGCAAGCGCTTTGTAACACGCATAAGACCAACCTTGTATTTGTTTCTTTTGTCGTTCTCGTCCTTCAGGCTGGTCTCACACACACTGATCTCGTGCTCCAAATTTTTCAACAACGCCAAGAGATCCTTGGGCGCGAACGTGTGCGGCTCGAACAATTCCGGATACTTGGAGCACAGTTTAGGATCGATTTTCTCGACTTTCTTCTCCTCTGTGACTGTGTCGCCGTTGCTAGTTTTCACCCTCGCGTGAGGAATTCTGACTTCACCCGATAAGCAGACCTTCTTGTGTAAATGGCCACTGTCAGAAACCAATCTTTTCCCGTTTATATTGATATTTCCCAGAGAACGACCTACGTAGAAGCGAAACATTTCGATTATATAACCGACAAATATATTTCGTATGAATCGCATAAATCTACCTACTCAAACCCGCTTCGTTCTTCTCGTCACCAGCAACCCTAATTACCACAAACTTCTTGAAGTCCTTCGTCGACGTGGGGCTGCTCTGACCAGAATTCCATCCCCAAGCTAGAAGATACCAAGATATTAAAAAAAAATCTTCCTCTAGTCATTCGAGGTTCTTGAAGTTAACGCTAATGATTCAAAAACTGGTTCTTGCTTTGCATACATAAAAAATTTCCAAAATTCTATTTGAACTAGAAACTAGCAGATGGGCAATTTGTAACAGACAGGTCAAGTAACTGTACGTGGAAGGTGCGAAACGAAACGTCTCGCAGAGATGTATGTACGCGTGTGAAAAGTACACAGTGTCTTAAGGCAAACGCACGAATTGCAGTCTGTAACAGTTGCGGTACGGGATGCGGTTCGTATCGGTCCTCTTCGCGTGTAGCCTGATCTGTCCGGTGAGTCCCTCGAGATGTCCAGAACCAAAGAAGCCGCACCTAACGAGTTGCACAATTTTTTATAATTGCGTGAATCTGCCGGGCGGCGGTTACGTGTGGGTTCCAGCGAAGTGTAACGCAGGCTTGGTGAGAACGTTGGCGTTAACAAATAAAACAAACAAAGACCTCCCAATTCTAATGGCGCTGTCACTTTGACGAAAAAATTTTTCTTCATAGAAATATTCATATAATTTTTCAAAACTTTTATAAAGGATCTTCACTAATTATATGGAAAATTGCGTCTCGGTGATATGAATTAGTTTTCACATATAACGTAACTTATATGTAGTAAACGAAAGATGTCATAGACACAAGAAAGATACATAGACACCTCAATAATAGATAATCTTTGTCGCTTTCCAGCAAGACATAGATTGATTGTTTCATCTTTGTTTAACATTGGCAAACAACAAGAATGTAATGTTTCACGATGTTATACTGGAAAACACCCTTTTTTTTATCAAAAAACTTTAAATACAAGTGTATGGTGTGGAAAAGATGATCTGTGAGCACAAGTTTTATGCCTTTGATGCACTACAGTTTAAAAATTACCTATTATTGAGCCAATTTTTCATATAATTAATTGCGGCGGGATCTTTCCAAATTTTTCAAAATTTCTATATGATTTTTATAACTTTCTAGAAAATTTCTCAAAATTTTTGTACAAATTAAAATACTTCAGAAATTCTGAGAAAGTATATATTTTTTTCTAAAATTTTTTATACATTTTTTTTCATCAAGGTAAATGTTTGAAATACGATTTTAGGTATTTCAACCATATTTACGGATGTGCGTGATTCCTGGTGATATCTGGACATGCGATATACTCTCAACCGACTCTCCTGTAACGAAGAAGCACGAGATATCCGAACTAATCAATCCAATGGACACCAGCTATCTAGGATATACGGAGGATCCTTTGGAATTCTCTGAAACGATTGACTCGTCCTATGTGATCGACGACTTTTACGACTCGACGACCGAGACGATGACAGCATATCCCTTGATCGAATTTGAAGAATTGGAAAAAACGACGCACAGCGATAAAAACGTGAGAAACGCGTCGTATCACAGGGAAGAGAATTATCTATACAAGTACACGAATAGCCAAGGACAACTATCGTTGTCTCTGATGCAAGAATATAAGGACATCATGGATAATCATTACAAATGGCTGAACAAATTAATGAATCAATTGCACGTCTACAAGGAGCTGTCAGCCGCGATATCAAGTTCTTTGTCGATACCTGTAAAAGACGCTACAACCATAAACCCAACGCAGACCATCACCATTTTCGCGTCTCATAATCAAAGGCAGAACATATCGTTGAACTACCTCGTGCAAAGCTATACCGAAGGAACTGAGTTACATAACAGTAATGACGAACCAACTGAGATGATGGGAAGCAACGAACCTCAGATGAATACCGTCGCGACGACGGACAGTACCGTTTCAACGGAGAGTGTTTTGGAGCTGCTAATCGACAGACTGGATTCTGACAACAATATAATAAGGATTAGCGATAATCTCGGAAACAAACAATATCTCACGATCAACCGGTACAGAAACATGGCGCATCGATTGACGCCACGAACCGTTAGTGTCGTGACGTGCACGAGGAACGTCCGTCTGCCGAATAAGACCGACTGTTATCGGTACTACACATGTGAGCCAAAAACTGCCACTGTAGTGGAGTACTCCTGTCCGCTACACACGGCTTTCAACGTGTACTCGCGAATCTGCGACATCGAGAGTGTGAAAACATGCGGCAGCAGCGTAAAGCTTCCTGTAAACGAAATATTCTTCGAGAATATTCATGCCAATGACAAAAGTACAATATACGAAGAAGAATCCGAGGAGAGATTGTGTCAAGAACTTGGTAAGATAAAAGATCCCGCTTCGGATTCTCATTACTATATCTGTTACAGCGTGCCGGATTCCGAAGGTATCAAATCAATCCGAATGACCTGTCCAAATGCCTTGATATTTTGCCAAAGCAAGAAAGTGTGCACCACCAGACGACTGTGCGACCGATCGTGACGTAGCATTTTCTCTTTTTCTTTTACCTTGAGTGGGCGAATTGAAGGCCGATCCGATTTCCGACGATGTATCTGTACTCGACGAGCTGTGAGCTGGTGAAGTTTGAATTCGTAACGGCGTGGCGTAATCTAGAGCGCACATCACTACTTTCTCCATTCCACTAAAATCAAACATAAATCGCTTATAGCGAAACTGCAGCACCGAACAATTTTGTGAATTTGTTATAAATAAATAAAATATATTATATCAGAATATTCTAATTAAAAAAATAATTTAATTGAAAAAAAATTAACGAAATTTATGCTTTTAAATTGTTATATTTTCTCCTATAAGATTTAACACTAGAATCGCCGATTTATTTGTATCGTTAGAATTACTTGCATTATATTCACATTTTTCTAACATTCTGTATTGTATATTTACAAAAAAGAAAAAATTGAAATTATAGCAGAAAAATCGATGATTTTATTAACTTAAATTTTATCAACATATAAATAAACAAAGACTATATTCGGTCAAAGTGAATGTTGGTATTTAATATTCTTAAAACCGATAAATATAATCAACATGTATTTGAACTGAAAATTGTAAGATTCACGCAAAAATATTATTAAGCATCAACTTTCGCTTTAACAGAATATCGCCTTCTTCGTTTATTGAATATTTCTCGATTTTCACTTACTTATTCTCAACTTTCACTTTCACTCAAATAAAGTATTGTGGTAAAACTAGAGATAACAGAGTGTATTATGTGAATGAAACACTCGATTATTATTTACGTGGATTCGGTTTTTCCAGATGCGATGCCAGAGACTGATTCATCCATAACCACCGCTGAATCGTTATTTCTTTCAACATTGATAGTGGGAATTGTAGGCGATTCTTCAATCTCCGTCTTAGGCATTCCATTTTCATCCTCGGTCTTGTTTCTTTTCTCATACTGTTTCTCTTTATCAGGATCAATCTCTTTATGCGAATTCTTCTCGACGTTGCCATCTTGATGACTTAATTTCATTAACTGCTGCAAAGCCTCTAAGACTATCTGTCTGTTGGTCTTCAGCATCGTTAATTTATGCGAAATAGCGAGACGTCTGTCGGGTACGACGGCCATTAGATTGAATCTGATATCTTGCAACTGTTCGCCAGTTGCCATCCCTAAACGATCAGTAATGACGCGTCTAAACTGCTCTGTCCATTCTTCATGTTCCTTCCATGGTCCGTGATCCATGGGATAGGGTTTCAAGCCATCTAGCTCAAACAGCCTACCATTTATCGGTACGTAACTGACAAAATGGAAAGCCTCGCCGGTGAACCTACCCGTGGAAACACCAGTGTTCTTGTCTTGTCGTCTCTTCGCTTGAGGCATTGCATGCGAGTTGTGCGCGCAGGCTAGTTCTGGCGTATTGCCGATCGCCCAACCCTTGTTCTCTGGACACATACCGGAGGTATGCATCTTCAATCGTGACAGAGTCGTGCCTAAGTGGATATTCGGGCAATTTAGCAGCACTGAGAGCAGTGCGTGAGTGGCGCAACTGTTGGGGACAACCTATGATAATTATGTAACATTGTGTTACAAAGATATATCTTTTATATACACTAAGTTGTCAATCAATAAAGTTCTGAATCACTCTTTAGTTTTTATATACAAAGGATGATTCAACGATTGAGCAAGTTGAGGTAGCTTATCACGAGTTCTTCACATCTAAGAATCTAAGTGATTACTGAATGATCTTTATTTTGAGGAATAATGTCATTGTTTTCGAATAAATTAGGTTCGTAAAAACCAAAGGATGAATTAGAATTTTTTTGACAACCTAGCAGTAGAAGCTTTGTGTGTTAGACCTGCTGAGCGAAGAAGATATTGTTAACAATCTCCTCGTCCTTGACGAAGCTCTCATCCTGTTCCACGACCTTTCGCCTAGATCGTCGTTCTTCAATCCACCGAAATAAGAAAATGAAGCCATAGACTGGGCCTTCTAGAGACTTTTGCAGATCATAGATCTCCTCCACTTGGACGCCCTTCACACCAAAGTCTTCCAAGAGCAACGTGAACAGACCTGAATAGTCGTGGAAAGTGTTATAGTTTTGATTGCTACGAATTTACGAAAGTACTTCCTAAGCTCCGGACATCAGATTTCCATTAACAAACGATTGATAGACACATTTCAAAGTTAACAACATACCTGGGTCACTTTCTAGTTCTAGCCAACCTTCCGTCAATCGATTAATGTCAACAGGCATCTTTTCGTCAACTGTCAAACGCAAAATAGCAGAAAACTCCTAAAAATTCATCGCACTCCGACAACTAGGGGCGCCATGTTCGGTCAAGCAGTCACGTGACGTCATCACGTGTTAGAGCACAAGTCGCGTTTCTATGAATCCTTTTGGAGATCGATAGTAAAAAAATTTAGAAACTTTAAAAACCTGAGAGAGAAAAAAGTAAAAATGTAGTTAAATAAGAGATAAAAATTTATTTTTCAAATTTATTTAAAAGATATAATAACAAATAACATTGTAAATTTTAATCGTGAAAAAGGATTCGTAATTCTATGTAATCAACAGATTTCATTGTTAAAAAAAAACTGCGTTCAGTTAGTAAAACAAAAACGACTTTAGGATCTATTCTCTAAAATCTATATTAATTTCATTAATTATATTAACGCTTTTTAATATTTATAAACTATACATAGTAAACTTATAAAGTAAGTACAAACTAAATTTAAAAGAAGAAAGTTTTATCAATATTACTGATATATTTCTATATCAAATTTATAGTACATATCATAATTTAATATATTTATATATATATTAAATTATATATTATAAGTATAATATACATTAAATCTTATAATCAAAATCCGTTATTCACATCAGTTGTATTGTATCGATTCTTACAGAATTTCAGCAAACTCTTTCCACGTTCACTATACAAACTAAAATTTGAAAATGACTTTGTAATATATAAACATGACAACAAAACTATATACAAACTGTCGCTTTAACCTTCTGTGTGTTCAACTGAAAATTTGAAGAAAAAGATTCAGGCAAATTTTCAATTTTGAATTAATCTACCTCAAATTTGGATACGTACAAAAAAAATGAAAAACATTTTGAATCGTAATAAAATTGTATTCTTAAATGCTAAAAGAGTTTAGGATTTTTTCAGATTTTTTAGAGCCCAAAAACTGTTTAAAAACCATAATCAGGTACCGATGATTCAGTTGAACTAAGAAATCAGAAAAAAAACGTTGGATCATGGAAGGTTGAACATGAAAATGTTGGAATTTACAACATTTACTACAACTTTACATACAACTTGCTAATCTTTCGGTGCCAAACACTGATTGATCACTCCAAGTAGCATAGAATTTTCTAAAGCCGCAGCTACTCGTTCTTTGTCTGCAAGCTGTTTGTTCACTGCCGCCTCCGAGATGTGAGTACCCGGTGAAATTTCCACACTGACCTTAAACCTAGAGGGTAAGGCACGCAGCAATTGCACGCGAATGGATAAACCGATCAAAGTGGCCATGCTGCAATGCGGTATTGTAGGTGTGAATTTTACATCTACTTTGTTCCTATTGTCATCAACCTGCAATGTTGGGTTTTAAGCAATTTTTGAAATACAATGGTACAATATTGTTTAAAAAAATATTTTACTTCAATGAGATTCTGTTCAACTACATTCAGTTCTTCTAAAGTTAAAGGATGTTCCGGATCATTGATGTTCCTGATAATATCTGTAAATTAACAGTTAATAATCAAGATTAATTTTTTATGTTGCACTTATGATAGAGAATGTATATAACACTTTAATTTATGATGTATATATTTAGTATCCCTAGTAAAAATTTTTCTCACAATTTTTCATGAAATTTTTCAGAATTTCTATATAATTTTATAACTTTCTCACATTTTTTATACAAATTTTTATACAAAAACATTTCTCAGAAAATTTACATCTTTTCTCAGAATTTTTCATATTTGTTAATTATAAAATGTCCTAAAATTTTTAAGATTTTTTATTTTAAGACATTTTATACGCGAACAAAAATATATCAACAATTCGATATATTTTTGATTGAAAATCAATAATTTAAGGTTAGCATATTTACCAAAAATCTCTCGCGCGTCAAATTCATCCGCTACATCCTCATCTTGTTCCTCGACTGTGATTTCTCGGTCATCTAATTTCTTATAGAGCTTTGGGTTAATGTTTTCCAAGTTTTCGCTCATTGTATACCATCGAATAAACGTCAAATCTTCATAATCCAAACACCTGTCGTTTTTTTTTATCTACTTAGTTTATAAGAGAAGCTTGGATGGATTTTCCTCAAATCAAATATGTTCCTTGAAGTTGTACTTATTACACTTTTTGCAATTAAAATGAATTAAATTTATAAATATTTCTAATTAAATATCAAAGAAAGAAAGAGAAAAGAATAAAATGTACAAAACGTTTATCTTCAAAAAGCAAACTTGAACTACACGTCAGTTATCCAGCTTGACATCAAATTATTGAAATGAAGCGCAGAACGAAAGAGGAGAATGAAAAGAGAGGTTAGGTGGTCTTAGATTGGAATCTGTGACGTATCATAACCTCGTAGACATGTGAGATTTTCGTAAACTTTGTGAGTAAAGTTAAATAAAATTCGAATTAATTGTTCAGCGATGACGTGTTAGAGAATAGTAGTCAACATGTTCTCGCGGATCACCCGGACCATCCTCGCGTCGAATGTTACCGCGTTGTTGCGGCAATCGCTGCGCGAGATCGAAGGCCGATCGTTGAGTCGCACTATTCACACCAGCCAGGAACGATGTAAGAAAAATGACGAGAAGGACAGCAAGCCGTCGACCCTCGTGCTTCACGCGTTCTTGAATGCCGAGAACAAGGAGCGGGAGGCCTATCTGGACATCCTGCGCGAGTACAAAACCAACAATGAAATGAGACGCGGCCATGTAGAGTTCATTCAGGTTGCCCTTAAGTATATGGATGAGTTCGGCGTGAATCGCGACCTGGCGGTGTACAAGGCCGTGCTGGACGTGCTGCCCAAGGGCAAGTTCATTCCCCGGAATTACTTCCAGACCTTATTTATGCACTATCCCAAGCAGCAGCACGTCGCCATTGACCTGCTCTGTAAGATGGAGCACAACAGTGTGATCCCGGACTTGGAGATGCAGGAAATGCTGCTGAACATCTTTGGGTACCAAGCCCTGGTGTTGAAGAAGTTCTGGCGGATGATGTACTGGATGCCCAAGTTCGCCAATCTGAATCCATGGCCCTGTCCCACACCGATGCCCAAGGACCCGAAGGTTCTTGCCAAGCTGGCTATGAATAAGATATCTAGTGCAGACGTTCAGACCGAACTCACAGAGTTCAAGACCAAGGACGTGGAGGATGCCATCGATGATACGTGGATCGTATCTGTGATGAGTAGTTCGCAGGAAGAACTATTACAAAAGCAGCCTCTGAATACTCCGATCTTTGTCGAAGGACCGTATACAGTTTGGATTAAGAATCACTGTATAGATTATTTTATTCTAAAGGGAGCACCTAAAGAAAAGAATAATGTTTATCAAAATCCTGATGGTAAATAATCACTATCTTAAAGGAAAACTTTTCTATGTCATTATTTGTATATAATTTGTATATAATTATATCCAGGGTTAGGATACATAAGTTTAGAGTTTTTTACAAAAATCCTTGATTTCTCAAAATCTGTAAGTGATGGAACTTTTTCAACCTCATATTCTTTTTTAACAGCTAAAAATACATAAGAATTATCATTCAGACATTGATTTATACAAGTAAAAGTCTTGTATAAATTATTATTATTATTATTATTATTATTATTATATGACATAAATTATGTTTTTACTATTATTAATTGTAATATTTAATAAATTAATTGTCCAAATATATTCGAGTAAAGCTTTTTTTATAGAAAAATACTAATATGTGTGTGATTTTTTTAAATAGATGTTTCAGATATTAGAATACCTTTCTGGGATAACAAAGAAATAATTCTTCCACCTACGATCCATGAGCAAAACGATGGTACATATTTTGCAATGTGCGCCACTGGTACATCCACGAAAGACTCATTGTTATCCTGGATACGATGTTTGCAAGAGAAGAATCCCGTATTAACTGTAATTCCAGTAGTGTTCAAATTAATGTCCTCCACAAGGGAACAGTTCTATATTGATTCTGGTGAAAGTGAAAACAACTTAGTGCAAAAAAAGGATCAGCAGAAAGATACAAATTGTTAAACTATTAAACAATGATAAGCAACATCACTATTGTAACTCGACACGCATGTCTGTAGATAGTTCTTGTTTGTATATAAAAATATAATGTTTTCATTACAGTTGATATGATTTCGATCAATTTAACAATTTAATTGACTTAACTGATAAATTTATTTAATAATTTAAACCTTGATATTTTTGTAGTTGAAGAAATCGTTTTTATCTTTCTGATCATGGAAATATTTCATTATTATTACGACATAAATACAGCATTTAGATAAAAAAGAGAGGAAGGAAGGATATATAAAAATAAGACACACCGTACATAGAAAGTTAATATAATTTATTCTGTGCAGCCACGCGTGTACTGCTTGGTGCACTTTCCCAGTGATAGGAATCAAAATAATATATGCCATCTGTCGATGGTCAATAGATCATCACATTGATTCGCTGTACTTGTCCACTTTATATATAAATATATTGCGATTAAAGAAAAATATATATATATATGTGTGTGTGTGTATGTATATATCTGTACAATTTCTGGTATCGCATACACTATATGCTGCTTCAGTGACACTACTTCGTTAATGCGTTAAGTCTAAGCCGCCCTTTAAGTGAGACTTGGTCTCAATCGCGCGAACAACGCCTCGCAAATGAAAAAATATGCATTTCCACCGCGCGAATTCTGTATAGATTTATATAAATCTATGATATGTTGTTATTTAAAGGAACGAATCAAACCTGCATACGAGAGATCTAAATCTCATGCTAAAGTGCCTAATCCTTTATCGAAAAATATACTTTAAAGTAATCTCCCCTAAAATATATCCTCTATTGCATCGTTCTGCTTAGCCGCGTGACGTCCAGCTTTCCACGAGGCGAAAGATCACAAGCGTTGTAGCTACTTTCCCGATGAATATTTTATGGCTTGGCCATCAGTAAGACACAACTGCTTATACAGGGCATTTACGTTATGTGTAATCCATCGATTACACTTTAACACGTATAGTGAAACTCGTCTAACTTCTCACAACGCAATAACACCTGCTTAGAGCGTACTAAAAAT